AAAAAAAAAAAAAAAAAAAAAAGTTGTGGTGTACATCTATAATAATCTCAGTACTCAGGTGGCTGAGGCAAGAGATTGTCATAAATTTGAGGAGACCAGCCTGGGCAGATTACTATAGTGGCCATCCTGAACTGCATAGAAAGACCCTGATTAAACAAACAAACAAACAAAACAAAAAAGGAAAGAAAAAAATGGTGATGTCTGTAAACAGCTCTTGCTTCTGTGATTCCTTACAGGGCATCACAGGGCTGTACCGTGGTATGGCTGCTCCTATCATTGGGGTCACTCCTATGTTTGCTGTGTGCTTCTTTGGGTTTGGTCTGGGGAAGAAACTACAGCAGAAATCTCCAGAGGATGTGCTCAGGTGAGAGCTTATAAGCCTAGAGCACTCAATGCTGTTTTGCTTGGGATGTGGCATGGGTTAAAGGAAAGAACCTTGGCAAGTAGGCAGTCGTTGTCCCAGGGCTTCCCAGGAATGGCTCCTAGGAGTTCCACATGAGGAAAGTACATGAGTTGTCTTGTGAACCAAAAGTAAAATAGATGAAGAAAAATGCCCCCTGCCCACTTTCTAGATTATTGTCATTTCTTCTATGAGGTAGTATCAATTACTGGAGTTATCAGTAATACCAACCCCACAGGTTGGTTTGGAGATTTGAATGCTCACATATGTTTTAAATGCTGTAGGCAATACCTCGGACTGCTGTTACAGCAACAGCAGCTTTGTTTTCTTGTCACCTCATTAAGAGAAGTTTCTGGCTTTTGTTTTACTTGTTTAGGGGATGAGAGAGTACTAGGGATCGAATACAGGCCCTTTCCACTGAGCTACATCTCCAGCCCTTCTTTTCTTTTTTATTTTGAGACGGGGTCTTGCTACGTCACTGTTCTGCATTCTGGGCTCAAATTTATTACCCGCCTTCCTCAGTAGTACTGCATTGCATAAAAAAACCAAAGTCTTTATCCATTTGTCATTTGATGGGCATTTGGGCATTTGGGCAGTTTCCAACTATGTCACTATAAACATGAGTGCACATATGTTGCTGTAATATGATGCTTTTAATTCTTTAGGATGATACCAAGAAGAGGAATAGCTGGGTCAAATGGAACCTCCAGTTTTAGTTCTTCGAGGAATCTCCACACTTGTTCCTACAATGATTATACCAGTCTACATTCCCACCAACAGTAGAGAAGGGTTCCTTTTTCCTCACAGCCCTTTCTCAGCATTTGTTATTGGTTGATTTCTTGATAACAGCCATTTTTTTCTTTTGTAACAGCCAATCTTTCTGAAGTGAGATGGAATCTCAGTGTTGTTTTAATTTGCATCTCTGGAATGACTACTGATGTTGAACATTACTTTATTTTGTATATTTATTTGTTATTACTACTTCATCTGAGGAGTATCTGTTTGTTTCAGATGTTCATTTTTGGATTGAGTCTTTAAATTTGGAAGGTCTGATTTTTCTCAGTTCTTCATATGTTCTAGATATTAGCATTTTGAGGAAAGCTGGCAAATTTTTTGTCCCACACTGTGGGTTACCTCTTCACTCTCTTGGTGGTTTCTCTTGCTGTGCAAAGCTTTTTAATAAGATGAGATCCTAGTTGTTCATTCTTTGTGATAGTTCCTGTGAGACTGAGATTTTGTTCCTAGTCTTTGCCTACACCAATATCAAGAGTTCTACCTATACTGTCCTCCACAAGATTGTGTTTCAGTTTTAATATTTGGATCTTTGATCCATTTTTATTTTAGTTTAGTGCCTGGTGAAAGATATGGGTCTAGTTTTAAGCTTCAGTAAGTGGAAAGCCAGTTTTTCCAGCACCACTTATTAAAGAGGCTATCTTTCTTCCAATGAAGATGTTTGACTCCTTTGTCAAAGATAAGGTGGTGGGCTGGGGATTTTAGCTCAGTAGTGCCATGCCTGCTTTGCAAGCCCAAGGTCCTGTGTTAGATCCCCATTACAGTGGTGTGTGTGTGGGGGGGAACAAGGTGGCTATGTCTGGAGTTGTTTCTGCATCTTCTGATCTGTTCCACTGATCCTCAGGTCAATTTTTTTTGCTAGTACCATGCTGGTTTTTTGTTTTTGTGGTATAAGAGTTCAAACTTTGGACCTTGAATTTGTGAGGCAGGCACAGCACTACATAGCTAAGTTCCCAGCCCGATGCTGTTTTTGTCATGGTAGCTTTCTAACCTAATTTCAAGGCAGGGATTGTTATGCCCCTGCCTTGCTTTTGTTGCCCAGAATTGCCTTTATTATTCTAGGTCTCTTCTGGTTCCAAATGAATTTTAGGATATTTTTTCAAGTTCTTTGAGATATGTTATTGAAATTTTGATTGGGATTGCATTAAATATGTATGAGAATTTTGAAAGTATGCTTATTTTCACTATATATATTCTTCCTGTTCAAGAACAAGGGATTTCTGTTTTTTGATAACTTCTTTGATTTTTTTTCAGAGCACTGTAGTTTTCCATGTAAAGGTCTTTTATTTCCTTGGTTAGATTGATTCCTAGGTATTTTATTATTTTGGATGCTATTGTAAAAGGTATTGTTTCTCTAATTTCTCCCTCAGTCAATTTGTTACTCATGTACCGGAAGGCTGTTCAATGATTTTTGAGTGTTGCCTTTCTGTCCAGCTACACTACTGAATTTGGTTATTAAATCTAAAAGTTGGTAGAGCTTTTGGGGTCTTCTATATAGAATATCGTGTCATCTGCAAATAATAATTTTACTTCTTCCTTTCCTCTTCTTATTCCTTTTATTTCTTTCTCTTGTCAAATTGCTCTTGTTTATGTTTCTAGAACTGTGCTGAGTAAGAGTAGTGATGGTCTTTGTCTTTTTCCTGATTTTATAGTGAAAACTTTCAGTTTTTGTCTATTTGGTGTGATGTTGGTTGTTGGTTTGTTATAGATGGCTTTTATCAGATTGAGATAAAAACGATCCATTCCAATTCTGTCGGGTTTTTATCATGCATGGGTTTTGGAGCTTGTCAAATGCTTTTTCTGTGTCTCTTGAGATGATCATATGATTTTTGTTCATGGCTCTGTTGATATAGCATGTTACATTTATTGATTTACAAATGTTGAAACATCCCTGCATCCCAGGGATTAATCATGCTTGATCATGATATATAACCTTCTTGATGATTTGCTGTATTCTCTTTGCCTGTATCTTATTCAGGATTTTTATATCTATTTTAATTAGGGAGATTGGCCTGTAGTTCTCTTTTTTGGTTGGATTCTTCTCTGATTTTGGTGTAAGGATAAAGCTTGCTTCCAGGAATGAATTTGGGAGTATTGTTTCACTTTCAATTTCATGAAAGAGTGAGAAGTAGCAACATTAGGTCTTCTCTAAATTTCTCGTAGAATTCAGCAGTGAATCCATCAAGGCCTGGGCTTTTTTTGATTGTTGCTAGGTTTTTAATTACATCTTCAATTTCATTGACTGATATTGGTTTATTTAGAATTTTTATATTTTATTGATTCAGTTTTGGTAATTCATATGTATCTAGAAATCTCTCCATTTATTCTGTGTTTTCCATGTTATTAGAATACAGGTTCAGGACTGGGGATTTAGCTCAATGGTGCCGTGCCTATCTGGCAATTTCAAGGTCCTGAGTTCGGTTCCTGTAAAAAAAATAGAATACAGGTTCTTGATGTAAATATTGATGATCTTATGGATTTCTGCAGAATCTGTTGTGATTTCACCTTTTTCATTCTTAATTGCATGGATTTGAGTCTTTTTTTATATAAAGTTGGCCAAGGGTTTGTTGCTTTAATCTTTCAAACAACTAACTCTTGAATTCATTGATTGTTTATATTGTTTTCGTAGTCTCCATGGCATAAATTTCTGCTCTGATCTTTATAATTTCCTCTTTCATAAGGGCATTGGGATAGACTTGATCTTCTTTTTCTAGAGTGTTGAGGTTAAACATTTGGTTATTTCCACTAACTCTGTTTTTCTGATATGGGAATTCACACTTACAAATTTCCCTTGTAGGGCCTGGGATTTAGCTCAGTGCCACACCTACTTTGCAAGTGCAAGGTCCTAGTTTGGTTCCTGGTACCAGTTGTAGAAATGCTTTAATTGTATTTCATAAGTTCTGGTACATTGTATTGACATTATCATTTAATTATAGAAACTGTGTAATTTCTTCTTTAATTTCATCTGTGACCCATTGGTTGTTCAGGAGGGTGTTGTTTAACTTCTATGTGTTTATGAAATTCTTTTTTTCTTTTGCTATTAATTTCTAATTTCATTACAGTATAGTCTGATAATATTCATGGGATAATTTTTTTTTTTGAGGCAGAGACTCTTTGTAGTTCATGTTAGCCCTGGACTCACTTTGTAGCCCAAGGTGGCCTCAAATTTTTGGCCGTCCTCCTGCCTCATGAGTGCTGGGATTATAGGCATGTGCCACTATGCTGGCTTTGCATGGGATAATTTGAATTCTTTTCCATTTGCTTAAGCATATTCTATGAGCTAGTATGTAGTCTATTTTGGAGAATGTCCCATGTGCAGCTGAGAAGCATGTGTATTCTAATTTTGTGGGTTGGAACACTCCATAGACATCTGCTAAGTCTATTTGTTCAAAAGTTTGGTTTAACTCTGATATTTCATTGTTAATATTTTTGTCTAATTGATCTGTCTGCTGGTGACAGTGGGGTATTGAGGTCCCCCATTACAATTGAATTAGTGTTTATTTGGTTTTTCATGTCTGTTAATATTTGTTTCATAGGCTGGGCGTGGTGGCACACGCCACTCAGGAGGTTGAGGCAGGAGGATCACTGTGAGTTCAAGACCAGCCTGGGCTACAAAGTGAGTTCCAGGTCAGTCTCAACTACATAGTGAGACCCTGTTTCAAAAAACAAAACAAAACAAAACAAAAATATTTGTTTTATACAGTTGGGTGCACTGCTATTTGGTACATATATATTTATGATTTCTAGCTCTTCCTCTTGGATTGTTCCCTCTACAAAGATATAGTGACCTTCTTTATCTCTCTTAATCAGTCTTGGCTTGAAATCCACTTTGTATTCAAATAAAATAGCTACCCCTGCTTTTTCCAGGTATCTTTTGCATAGAGTATTATTTTCCATCCTCTTAATTTTCAGTCTATGAATTTCTTTCTAAATTAAATGTGTTTCTTATATGCAGCATATTGTTGAATCTTGTTTCTTGATCTATTCTGCTGGTTTGTTTCTTTTGATTGGTGAATTGAGACCATTTACATGACACTTGTAACTGATATGTATTGACTTATCCTTGTCATGTTATTTGCCTTTTGCTGGTTCTGTTTTTATCCCCTCAGTTTAATTACTTGCCTTACCTGGTAGATTCATTCTGTTGAAATTCATAGAGTCGTAGCCCTCATTATCTGTTTTTAGAATGTTCTTCAGAACATTTTAGACTGCTGGTCTGGTGGTCATGAGTTTCTTCAGGTGTTCTTTTTCATGGAAGTATCTTATTTCTCTATCAATTTTGAAATATAGTTTTATGAAGTATATCAGTGTGGGTTGGAGCTTCTTTTCCTTTAGGGCTTGAAATACTTCACACCAAACTCTCCTTGACTTGCGGGTTTGTGTTGAGAAGTCTGTTGTGATTCTGACGGGCTTTCCTTATAAGTGATGTTTCTCTTCTCTAACAGCTAAAAAGTATTCTGTTCTTGTGTTGAATTTCTGGAATTTTGAGTATTATATGCCTTGGTGTAGATATTTTTTGATCCTGGGTAATTAAAGTTCTATATAATTCTCTTATCTGTATGTCAAATTCTTTTTTCCTGTTTTGATAGTTTTCTGCCATTACTTCTGTGAGAAGATTTTTTTATATCATTTGTACTATCTCCTGCTTTTTTCACTGATTCCAATCAATCTTACATTATTCTTCTTTTTATTATCTAGTAGCTGCTGGATTGATTTCTCATGGTCCCTTGCTGTTTGAAAGAAATCTTTCTTTTCATGATCGCTAACCACAATCCTATCTTCTGTGTCTGATATTCTGTCATCACATTGACTCATTCTGCTGTATATACTTTCAGAGGAATTTTTAATCTCCCAGATCTGTTTTAGTCTGTTGTATGGATTCCATTTTCTTCCCATGCTGTACATTCATGGTTTCCGTCATTTTCCTGAGTTCCTCTATTTTTTATGCATATCTGTTTAGAGTCACTAAGTATATCTTTCATTCTAGTCACCATCTCTGTAGTTATCTGAGAAATTATTTCTGCTTTGAACTTTTCTAGAGCCTCATTCACCTGCTTTGTTACTTCTACTGTTACCATTTCAGAGTCCAGGTGTGTGGCTTTTGAAATGTTCCACTTTGTTGCCCCTGGGTTTTTCTTTGGTGAGCTGAAAGTCTTGTTGAAGTGTCTTCTCATTTTCCTTCTTTCGTTCCTTCTTTTTTTTTATAGGTTAATTCCTGGGTTGATGCTTGTAGATTGCTTATGATGAGTAGCTTTATTTCCAGTATTCAGAACCCTCAGGAAATGACTCCTTCTCAGAGGTATCTTCCAGATTTAGCTCGCTTTTGGGTTTTGAATCTGTTGCAAGATCTTATCTTTTCAATTTATTGGGTATGAAAAGTCTCTGTCTACTTGGCCCAGTGTCTGGTTCTTTGGCACTGGCCTATTGTATTTTGTAAAATGCTTAGACAATCTCAGTCTTGGTATACCAGGAAGAACAACTGATTAGCACAATTGTGTCACCTTGGCTAATGAGGTACAATCATCAATAACAATAGTATCAAACAGCCTAGAAAATGACAAACTGTCATAACTATTAATTTGCCACCTTTACCTGTCTGAACTAGATTTGTAGTTATATACCAAAATCTAAAATGAACTAAAAAATTGTATGCAATAAATAAGCCTGCATATGGCAATTTTACCCTGAGAGAAGATTTACAATGGGTTAAAGAGGAAAAAATAGAGAAATAGAAGAAGAGTTTAGAAACAAGGCTGGAGGACAAAGGAAGATCATACAAACTTTGGGAAACTGATGAAGAAGACAGGAGGGAAAGAATGAAGGAAGAAATAAAAACAAGAACAGAACAACTACAACAAAAAACTAGAAACTGTGTTCACACTCATGTAACAACAAGAACAAGCAGTAAGAACAAAGAACAAAACAATAAGAATAAAAACCAGACAAAAGCAAAAAAAAAAGGACAAAAGTAAGGAAAGAAAGAAGAAGAAGAAAAAAAGAAAAAGTACAATTCAAGGTGTGTTTCTGCTGTCACTGATAAAAATGTGGGCAAACAGAGTCCAGATCCAAGTTGATTAATCCCAGGAAGCCAGCTATTAATTTATGATGGGATTGTAAATAATCCCAGCAAGCCTGGAATTCTAGTTCCACTGAAGTTCAGGCTAAATTCTGGTTATGAGGCTGGGACCAGATTTGTTGAGTCTACCACAGTCTATGTGCCTTCTGCCAGGTTGAACTCTGCTCCCTCACCTCCTGATGACTTGGAACTAGCACCCTCACTATAACACTGGGAGCCACTAGATGGAACTGGCCCATAGCTCTTCTGAGTTCTGAGCTCAGTTAGCCACTCTCCAAGATGGCTACTAGCCAACTGCCCTCTACTAGGTGATGTCTGAACCCAAATAACTCACTAGCCACTGCAGTCTGCTGTGTCCACTGCTTTGTCCTACTGGTGCTTTATCCATGGAGGCTTCTAGGGTCATCAGTAGTCACTGTGTATCTGAAAATTCAACCTGCCCTTCCTACACCATGAGTCCAGACTGTTGGACAAAGCACCACCTACCACCTCCCTCTTTTTTTGTTGAAATCTCTCTCTTGGCTCTCCCCATGGACTTCATTTCTCCCTTCAGATCCTTCCTGGGTCCTGGGGACCCGCTTCCCTCCTTCTCCTTCCTATATTGGGTTACTAAATCCTGAAAAAGTTCTTTCTCTGCTGCTCACCACTCCACTATCTTCCCAGAAGCCTGGTGCTTTATTTTTATAATGTGATTGTATGATTTTAATGATTACAGATATTGGTTTCTCTATCAAAATGAAATAAGTCACTGTATTTTCTTGAGACATTATCAAGCATATAGGCTGACTTTTGAGCATTCAGGAGCCTTGTTTTAAGAGCTTCAAAGTCCCAGTTAATTCTGTTGACTCCTCTTGGAACTAGGACTTTGAACCTGGCTTCATGTGAAAATAATTTTCTTGACTGTTGAGCAGTTATGCTATATGCTTGACTTGTATGTCTGAGATGAATATGTGAGTCCTGCCAGGGGGTGAATGCATAGAACAGGGTGTGAAACTGGTGACCTGTCTAAAGGAAAAAATTTATAGTGGATGTCCCTTCACTGCTAATTGACACCTCTTCCTCATGTCTTAGTCTCTTTTTGAGGGGACTATCCTGAAGGTTGTCAGAGGCTTGAGGTGGTAGGAACATGAGGCTAAGGACAGTGTGAAGGTTTTCGGCAACATTTGCCAAGTTGTAGGGACTCTATTAAAATGCTGAATATAACTCTGTGCCTGTTGCCTTTAAGCCATTGCTGATTCCAGAAAGAAAAGGAAGTGCTAGAGGTGTCATAGACAGCTGTGGTGATAGACACTAGAAGCCTCAGACTCGTCCTCAGTATGGCTCATTCTGTAGGGGCCTGAGTGAGAAGCCATGCTTCTGCATGCCAGGGGACCATTCTCTGCATAGCACTGTAGAATGCATCATGCCTGCCTGAATAGCATCCTTTATTTGGCCCTACCTGTCAGTATCTTCCTTGTAGCTGCACACTCCTTGCAGCTGGCTTGGCTATCCCTCAGCCTGTGGAGTGGCCACAGCCGTTCTTCCTGGCCTCAGAGCTATTGTACTTCAGTCTTGGCTTAGAGTCTTCTCAGGCTCTTCATGGTCCAGGGGAAGTATGATCTGCTGAGAAGTAGATCTTGGGTTACAGGCTCCTTCCTCCCCATCAGCCTGGCATTTCATAGTTCAAGCCTCTAAGAAGTCTGGGAACTTGTGCATAGTCACTGCATGAGATTGACTTGGGTTGGAAAACATGTCTCACTAGGAACTTCGATAGGGGAGGGATTCTGAGTGTGTACCTCATATGATTGGGCCTTGTGACTAGGCTCCATTGCTTTTCTTTTTTTTTTTTTTTTTTTTTTTTTTTTTTTTTTTCTTTTTTTCTTTTTTGCAGTACTGGGATGGAACTGAGCTAAATCCATAAGCTCCATTGCTCTTGATACTTAGGCCCTTGCTCAGGGAAGTTTGATCAGAATATACCTAGAATCTGGATTTCACATGAAATCTGATTTATTTGTAGCTGTACTTCTTCCCAGTTGAAGTACTTATTTTTTCTTACAAAACCATCCTCTTTTCTGGGATTACTTTTGTCTGTGGGGATAATCACAGGTACTTGTTTCTGGTTTTTGTTTTCAATACAGCTACCCCCAAATATTTGCTGCTGGGATGTTATCTGGTGTATTTACCACAGGAATCATGACCCCTGGTGAACGGATCAAGTGCTTATTACAGGTATGAGTGTGATCTGGTAGCAGACAGGTGACTTTTTCCACTCAGCAAAAATGTTGTGTGCCTGTTTACACAACAAATGTTGTGTACCTTTTATAAAGGTCAGGTCAGGTGTACAAAACAAACAGTTCCAAGACTTTCAGGAACATGGAAGCAATTGTAGTGGGATTAAGAATCAAGACAGTATAACAGATCAAGAAAAATATCATACCTGCAATGTGTCAGTCCGAGCCTACCCATCCTTGTTAGCAATGACTTCATGAACTCTGAAAGGTGAGTTATGTCTGATCAGAGCTAGTAGAAGGGAAGCTGCTCTTGCCAGAGATGTCCTGTGTCTACCAAAACCTCAGTGTCTTTAAGGCATCGATTGTGAGCCTTTTAGAGACAGGTGCCCAAACTGCAACCAAAACCCACTTATTTATCACAAAGTGCTAACACTCCAAATAAACCTACTGAATTTTTAGTTTAGAAAAACATCTTACACATTAACATCTTTTGTCTGAAAAACACCCTTACCATAGGTTTGCTGCTACTACTTTAGAATATACTCTGTCCTATAATTTTATAATTTCAAGAAGGTTTAAGCAAGACAAAGAGGGAAAAAAGAATATTTAAATAAAATCATACATTGAGCTGGGCATGGGGATGCATATCTATAATCCCACCACTTTGAAGGTTGAGACAGGAGGATCATTGCAAATTTGAGGCCAGTTTGGGTTACACAGGGAGTTCAAGTCCATCTTGAACTACACACTGAGGGTCTGAAAAATAAATAAGCCGGGCATGGTGGCGCAGGCCTGTAATCCCAGCACTTGGGAGGCTGAGGCAGGAGGATCACTGTGAGTTCAAGACCAGCCTGGGCTACATAGTGAGTTCCAGGTCAGACTTAACTACATAGTAAGACCCTTTCTCAAATAAATAAATTAATGAATGAATGAATGGAATAATATACTTTGTGAATTTTTCAGATTGCCAGCATAATTGGAGATTCATTCAGATTGTGGAATTTTGTTTTTTGTTTTTCATTTTTTGAGACAGGGTTTCATTATGTAGTTTGTGCTGGCCGTGAACTCACTATGTATCCCAGGCTGGCTTTGAACTTGCAGTGATCCTCCTGCCTCAGCTTCCCAAGTGCTGGGGCTATAGGCATGTACCACTTGCCAAGTTTAAATTGTTGAATATATACACAGTTCATTTTTATTTTTGAGTGGGAGCACAACAAGGATGTCTCACAATTTAACCAATTGTCTGTTGATGGAACTCTGTGTTGTTTGTAGTCTTGGGCTATTCTGAATAAAGGTGCTATATTTTTGTGACAAAATAAGTCTTTATTTCTCTGAGATAAATGTCTAGGAGTACAACTTCTGGGTTGTATAGTAATTGTATCCTTAGGTTTAATTTTTTTGGGTGGGGTGGTACTGGAATTTGAGCCTGGAGCCTTTACACTGAGCTGCAGCCTTAACTGTAGTGCAGGCTGGCCTCAGACTCACAGCAGTCCTCCTGCCTTAGCTTCCTTCCGAAGTGCTGGGATTACAGGTGTGCGTCACCATGCCTGGCCTCAACTTTTTTATTTATTTTTTTGCGGGGGGTTTGGAGACAGGGTCTCACTGTGTAGTTGGGACTGACCTGGAACTCGCTATGTAGCCCAGGCTGGTCTCAAACTCACAGTGATCCTCCTGCCTCAGCCTCCCGAGTGCTGGGAAAACAGGCTTGCACCACTTTTTAATTTTTTTAAAATTAATTAATTAATTTTTTGGTACTGGGGATCGAACTCAGGACCTTCTGCTAGCGAGGCAGGTGGTGGCACCACTGAGCTAAATCCCTGGCCCTGAGTCTTTTTAAAGAATAATTTTTTTAAAAATTTTGAGATGGAGGAGGGGAAATAAAATAAAACAAGATTTTGAGCCAGGGTCCTGCTAAGTCACCTAGTTGTCCAGATTGGGCTCAAACCTGTGATTCTCCTTCCTCAGCTTCCCAGAACGCTGAAATTATAGGCATGTATATATCCTTATTTGTCCAAGAAACTACCATATTGTTTTTCAGACTAAGTGTACTGTTTTACAGTTTCACCAGCCATGCATGAGTGATTTATTTCTCCACATTCTCACTAAAATTTTTTATTGGTATTAGGGGTTGAACTGAGGGCTTTGCACTAAGCTACATCATCAGCCTTTTTTGTCTGTTGTTTTTTTGAGACAGGGTCTTTGCTATGTAGTTCAGGCCAGCCTTGAACTCACTATGTAGTCCAGGCTGGCCTTGAACTCTCAGCAATCCTCCTGCCTCAGCCTCCCAAATGCTGGGCTTACAGGTACATGTAACCACTCCTTGTTCAGTATTTTTTATTTTACCTTATCTAATAGATGTGTAGTAATAACTTGTATTTCCTTTGTGTATATATGTGACTAAGAATTGAACTCAGAGCCTTCACACTGAGTTACATCCCAACCTTTTAAAAAAAAATTTTTTTTTTTTTCCTGGTACCAGGGATCAAACTCAGCACCTTGTACTTAGAAGCACAAGCTAAATCCCCAGCCCTTATTTTTCTTATGTATTTATTTATTTATTTTTCGGTACCAGGGATTAAATTTAGGACGTTGGGCTTGTGGGTCTGGGACAATGCCACTGAGCTAAATCCAGGCCCCCTTATTTTAATTTTGAGGCAGTTAATCACTAAGTTGCTAAATTGCTCAGACTTGCCTTGAACTTTTTATCCTCTTGTGTCAGTCTCTCAGGGTGCTGGGATGAGATGTGTGTTACCATGCCTGGTTTAATTTGTATTTCATTTTAGAAAACTGCAGGATGTAAGGACAATCTGGCTGCAACACCTGTCACCCCATTGATCCCCGGGCTTGATTTGGCTGATCAGGCTGGCTAGGCAGGTGTCCCCTTCTTTCCTCACCCCTCAGTGTGCATCCCTCCTGAAGCTGTGTGCTCAGTCAAAAAGGAGGACCCCCTGCCCCACCATAGAGGAGGACAGTTTTCTTGGTCAAGGGTATAGGAGTAGTTGTGTTTCCCTGCTAGAACCTCCACACAAGCTCTCATTTTAGAAAATTGTATTTCCTTCCTTAATAAAGATATCAAATATCTTTTTATATATTTAATTCTCTTTGATGAAATAGCTGTTCATAAATTTGGCCCATTTTCCAACTGAATTTTTAAAAATATTATTATTTATTATTATTATTATTATTATTTTTGGTACCAGGGATCGAACTCAGGACTTTGCTCTTGCGAAGCAGGTGGCAGAACCACTGAGCTAAATCCCCGGCCCTTAAAAATTATTTTGATAGTCCTTGATAATGTTTTATTTTTGAGAATCCTTGATATATTTTATTTATTTATAATTATTATTTTTTGGTACTGGGGATCGAACTCAGGTCCTTGTGCTTGTGAGGCAGGTGGCAGAACCACTGAGCTAAATCCCTGGCCCCTGATATATTTTATATAATGGTTCTTTGTTTTTTTGTTTGTTTGTTTTTTGAGATAGGGTCTCACTATGTAGTTGAGACTGACTTGGAACTCACTATGTAGCCCAGGCTGTTCTCAAACTCAGAGCGATCCTTCTGCCTCAGCCTCCCGAGTACTGGGATTATAGGCGTGCACCACCACGCCTGGCTATATAATGGTTCTTTATCAGATATGTGGTTATGATTTGTTAATATTTTCACTTACCAGTCAGAAATGATGGTATAAACCTGCGATCCCAGCATTTGGGAGGATGAGGGAGGAGGCTCATGAGTTTGGGGCCAGCCTGGATTACATAGTAAGTAGCAAGTTCATAAATTCAAGACCCACCTGAATACCACTTATTGCGACCTTGCCTCAAAAAACAGAAACAAAACCAAAAATTAATATTTTATAGAATTCTTTGGTGAAATACTCTAGAAGTAGAGACTTTTTAGGAGGAGTTTTTAATTATGAATTCAATTTTTTAAATCATAGGGCAATTAAAATTATTTGTTTCATATTAGATGAGTTATGGTAGTTTGTATTATTATTGTCAAATTTGTGTTACTGTTAGAGGGATGTTTTTAGTACTTGTTTATTATCTCTCTCTCTCTCTCTCTCTTTTTTTTTTTTCTGGTACCAGGGATCAAACTAGGGTCCTTGAGCTTGTGAGGCAGACAGCGGAACCACTGAGCCAAATCCCTGGCCCTTGCTTGCTTTTTTGAGACAGGGTCTTTCTATGTAATTCAGGCTGGCTTTGAACTCCCGCCATTCCTCTGCCTCAGCCTCTCAAGTGCTGGGGTTACAGGCATGTGCCTAGTTTGTAGTTTTTGTCTGAAAAATATAAAAATATAATTTTTGGGGAGTATTTCACTTTCAAGTACTCCATACTTATCCAGACATCCAGAGTAGCTGGATGAAGTATTCCCCCTTTTCTTGCCTTCAAATAAATCATCCTTTGTTTAAAAAATAAAAACAAAAAACAAAAATTTCTTTCTGTTTCCCATATCATTTTTTGTGCTTCAGGACTTTGCTCCCCCTTACTTCAAAACTCTTTGAAAAAATTTTAAATTTATTTTACTCTTTTCTTTAAAACTCTGTCTTTAATATCATTACCCCGTTAAACCCACTCCAGTCTAGCTTTTCTTCACAACTCCAACACAAGTGCTTTTGTGAAGGTCACCAGTGACTTTATGCCTAAGTCCAGTGGTTATTTCTTGGTAAGCATCTCCCTTGATCCATCAGTAGGCAGGTTACCCACTACACCCTCTTGAAGAGTGTCTTCACTTAGGATCTTTCTCCTGTTTTTCCTTGGCTGCTTATTTTCTGTCTTGTTGAGTAATCATCATCTCCCTCTTCAGCGTTCATAGGTATAAAGCTCAATCCTGTTCTATTCATTACGTTGATAATTTTATCATTTCATGATATTGAGACACTATTTATATACTGATGACTCTCAAACTTTATCTGCAATTCAGATTTATCTTGAATTCCACAGTGGTTTATTATACATTTCTATTTAGATACTAATTAGGTGCCTCAAAGTCTTGATCTGCAAAACTGAACTGAGGTATTGGCCTTCCCAAGGCCTCCTCTTCCCTGACACTTTTGTGGCAATACCACCCTTTTAATTATCAGGGCTAAAACCCATGAGTCCTTCCAGATTCTTTTTTTGGGGGGTACTGGGGATCAAACTCGAATCCTTGTGCTTGCAAGGCAGGCGGCAGAACCACTGAGCTAAATCCCCGGCTCCAGATTTTTTTTTCACTATATAGATCCCGTTTGTTGAACAGTTAAATTTGCATTCAATATATCTTAACTCTCTCCTTTCTTATTACCTCTGTTGCATCTGTGTTGCTCAGGACGCCTTTATCATTGCCCCAGATAAGTCTGAGGGCCTCCTAACTTGTTTTCTGATTATGGTCTGGTCTATTGTTCATAACAGTGAGAAGTTTCTATTAATATGTCCTTCCCATATCCAATTCTCCATGGCTCTGCAGTATGATTCACTCCAACACCCTCCATCACATGGACCTTCCTCAGATATAGTGGCTCATACACACCTGGTTAATTTGGAGAAATTATATAAAAAGAACCATTGACATTATCTTAAATTTACTGTTAGAAAAATTGACACCTTTCAAATTGAAAACTTCTCTAGTCAAAATTATTTTTTTTTGAGACAGGGTCTTGCTGTGTATTTCAGGCTGGCCCTAAACTCACCATGTAGCCCAGGCTGGCCTCCAACTCATGGTGTGGGATTATAGGCACACACCACCATATCCAGCCCCAAATTATGACTTTTTTTTTTACCTAAAACAAAGGTCTGGGTGTGGTGGCACATGTCTGTAATCCCAGCACTCTGCAGGTTAAGGTGAGAAAATCACTGTGAATTGGAGGCCAGCCTTTCTGGGCCAACCTGGACTATATAGACTGTGTCTCAAAAAAAAAAAAAAAAAAAAAAAGATTGGGGGGCTGAGGATTTAACTCAGTGACACTGTGCCTGCCTTGCAACTGCAATGTCCTGAGTTTGATCCCTGGTACCAAAACAAAAAAAACAACTTTGTTTTGTTTTGAGACAGGGCCTCCCCTATGTAGACCAGGCTGGCTTTGAACTCACAGTTATCCTCCTGCTTCTGCCTCCTGAGTGCTGCTGTTACAGATGTATGTCACCATTCCCTGCTCAAGAATTATGACTCCCTGTTCATTCATCTCTTTTATGTTCTTCACCGGTGCTTTAGTTTTATTTATACAATTTATTGCCATACACACACACACAGGCATAATATATATGCCTTATTGCTATTTTGAATAAGATCCTTTCCATTATTTTTTAACTGTTTAATCCTGGTAGGTTAAACAAACAAACAAAAGCTACTTTGCTTGTATGTTTATTTTTTGTGTTTATCCTTGGCACTGCTAAATACAAACTCTCTGGCTGTAATGGCTCTTTGGCTGATGTCCCTGCTTGATTCATCTTGGCTCCATATTCACTGTGGACCCTGATTGGGGCTGTCTTACTTTCAGATCTTTACTGGGATTATAGCTGCCTGTTCTCAGGCTCTTTACACTTAGGCCCTGAGGCCTCAGGGCTGGGTAGCGGGCCTCCTCCTTGGCTATCCTCTGGTTCTGTACAGGGCCTCTATCTGAGCATTTCAGCACTGAATGTAATTTCCTGTCTTCCTTTCTTTTCCTCTCCTCTCCTTCCTACCTCCCCACTACTATGAGTTGAACCTAGATCTTCATACATGCTAGGTAAGTGCTCTCACACTCCCAGCTTTTAAAAAATTTATTTGCCACAGGTGCAAGGTCCTGAGTTCAATCCCTAGCACAAAAAAATTTTTTTTTCACTTTGAGACAGAGTTTTGCTGAGTTACTCAAGCTGACCTTGAAGTTGTGATTCTCCTGCCTCAGCTTTCTGAGTAGCTTGGATTACAAGCATGCACCACCACACCAAGCTCTGATTACCTTTTCTTTACAAAGCTTCCTGACCAGCTAGGCTTGGAATAAATTTTGTGCTCAATAGATATTTGTGGAAGGAATAAACAAATGACTAAAATATTTGTCTCTTCTTTTCTAGATCTTCCAAATTGCTTTTTTTTTAAAGTACTCCTGTGTTTGGAAGATTTCTTATTTTCCAAATCTCTTCTGTTGATTTTGTTTCATATATATATATATATACATATATATTTTTATATACATTATATATATTTCATATATATATTTTTTATATAAACCTGCAATGTGTTTAATTGACTTGACATTGAAGCCTTTTATGGGTCTAATGCATAGCAAACATTTCCATTCCTGCTTTGTGTTCTCCTATAACCTGCTGGGTCTGTTGACTTTGACTTGATGACCTTCTCCATTCCAGATTCAGGCTTCTTCAGGGGAAACCAAGTACAATGGAACCTTGGACTGTGCAAAAAAGCTGTACCAGGAATCTGGGATCCGAGGCATCTACAAAGGCACTGTGCTCACCCTTATGAGAGGTAACTTTTGAGGCTTTCTGTCCACCTAAGGTCACCTGGGGAGGTCATTTGAGGCTCTGCCACAGAGGATCTTGCCTAGACAGCCAGATTAGTATTAACACACACCACAGCTCTGACAGGCCTGGCAATGTGTGTCCTGGTTTTAGGCAGTATGGGTACAGGTAAGGATGAAAGGACCTACTGTCTTTCCTCAGTGTCCAGGGGGGCGGTGTGTGAAAGTCGTAACAGTGGTATTTGGAAGGATTAGCTATTAGGTGGAAATCATGGCTAAAATAAGAAGAGAGTGACTTAGGGATAGTGGAGATCTCCTATGTTTGTTTCAGGGCTGGGGAGTGAATCCAGAGACTCAGCATTTGAGGCAAGTGCTCTCCCATTGGGCTATACCCTCTACCCCTCTCCCTGGTTTGATTTGTTTGTTTGTTTGTTTGTTTGTTTTTGAGACAGAGTCTCGCTGTGCAGTTCAGGCTGGTCTTGAATTTATTATGTAGCTGAGGGTAGCATCGAACTCATGGCTATCCTCCTACCTCAACCTCTCAAGTGCTGGGATTATCTCCCTGGTTTAAGAGGTAGATTTTCCTGGGATGGAAGTAGTTGATGCAGAGATTAGTCCCATTCTTGTCCTGAGATGGCAGCTGGGAGGAAGGCCAGATGCATTAGCTGTGATTATAACTCCTGAAGTGGGCCTATCAATGGTGACCTAGAGGGGACTTTATTTTTTAATAATATTTATTTATTTACTTATTTATTTATGTATTTACTGGTACCAGGGATTGAACTCAGGACCTTGTTCTTGTGAGGCAGGTGGCAGAACCACTGAGCTAAATCCCTGGCCCTAATAAATTTTATTTCATCCCATTCACCCCCTCAAGCCTTCTCCCCTCCCTATTCACAGAAGTTTTGTTTTCATTTTTTCCTTCTATTTTCATTTTTTTGTGTTTCTTCCTTTCTCCTTCCCTCCTCCCTGGTAACCCTTCTCATTTGAACTCTTTCTTCCCATTAACATCCCTTATACATTTCAGTCCTTATTTCTCTCCACGTTCAGTTTCTCACACCAGAGAAAAAATGTGGTATTTAAACATGTATGTGTAGGCCAGGTGTGGTGGCGTACACCTGTAATCCCAGCACTCAGGAGGCTGAGGCAGGAGGATCGCTGTGAGTTTGAGACCAGCCCAGGCTACACAGTGAGTTCCAAGTCAGTCTCAACTACATAGTGAGACTCTGTCTCAAAAAACCAAAAAAAAAGAAAAAAAAATGTATGTGGAATTTATTTCACTTGAGAGCCTGATCTCAAGATCTATCTATTTAGCTATAAAATATCTGAAGCCCATTCTTCTTTATGGCAGAGAAGTACTCCATTGTATAAAAAAAACCCACATCTGTTTTTTGGGGTGGGTACCAGGAATCACACTCAGAACCTTGTACTTGCAAGGCAGGCAGTGGCACCACTGAGCTAAATCCCTGGCCCAAAACCATGCCTTCTTTATCCACTCCTCAGTTGTTGGGCTTTTGGGCTGTTTCCATGATTTAGCTATTACAAACTGTGCTGCTATAAACATGGGTGTGCATATATCTCTGTGGTATGATGCTTTTAATTCTTTAAGGAAGATACCAAGAGGTATAGCTGAGTCAAATGGAACCTTCAGTTTTTGTTTTTTGAGAAATCTCCACACTAATTTCCACAGTGGTTACACCAGTCTACACTTTCACCAACAGTGGAGAAGTGTTTCTTTTCCCCCACAGCCCTACAGGGGACTTAAAGATGAAATGTTGTGTCTATTCACAGTCACAGTGCTTGGCCCAGCACAGCTTCTGGTAGCTGCAAAGTGTCGATTGCAAACTGGATGTGGCTGTTGAGGAACTCTCACGAAACCTCGAGTAATCCAGTGCCAGGCTTGACTCTGTAGTGCACAGTAATCTGTGGTGGTTTTATGTACTTAATTCACCTCTTTCCTCCCTTTTTTTCCCACTTCTTTCTTGACACTTAACAGATGTTCCAGCCAGTGGGATGTATTTCATGACATACGAGTGGCTGAAAAATATTTTCACTCCAGAGGGAAAGAGGTGAGGATATTATAACTTACAAACCACTTTTCCCACTCATAAGCGGGTGGTCCTCTCCTGTGAGTGGGTCACAAAATACATAGAAGCCAGACTTGTTCTTTCTCTGTGTATGCCTTCTTCTCATGGCTGCTGAGGTCCAGCTAACCTCTTACTCTGTGCTCACACAGTAGCAAGTGTATGATATAGGAGTAGCAGCTACCATGTCATGGGAACGTTCTTTGTTTTTTGGTTTTTTGTTTGTTTGTTTGTTTTGTTTTTGGTGCGGGGGTTGAACTTGGGCCCTTGTGCTTGCAAGGCAGGCAGTGGAACCACTGAGCCAAATCCCCGAACCTTATCTTTGGATCTCTTCCCTCCAGCCAGTCTCTTTTCAGTAACTTCCCTATCTGCCAGAGGCGATAGTGAAACGGATGAACACCTTTCTTTCAGTTTCAGTCTTCGATTGACTGGGGCTGTGGTTGTGTGTTCTGCAGTGTCAGTGAACTCAGTGTTCCTCGAATCCTGGTAGCTGGGGGAATTGCAGGGATCTTCAACTGGGCTGTGGCAATCCCTCCAGATGTGCTTAAGTCCCGCTTCCAGACTGGTGAGTGAGTCCCCCTTCCAGACCAGAGTGGTGAGTGATAGAGGGTGGGTTTTACACTGGCTACCCCAGGGGTACAGAGATCTTAAGACGTTGGGTAACTTACTCTTCAGAGCAACACCCAGAGACTGTCTGAAAAAACTTCTACCTTATTTCTAGGAACTCTAGATATGAAGTCAAATCTACAAATCCATTCTCCCTCCCCCATAAATGAAAGGCTGTTTCATTTGTGTGTGTGTGTGTGTATGTGTGTATGATGGTAGGGCCTCATGCATGGTAGGCAAGTACTTTCCCACTGATTAACACTCTCCACCCTATTTCTTTTTTTTGTTTGTTTGTTTTTTGTTTTTTGAGACAGGGTCTCACTGTGTAGCTCAGGCTGGTCTCGAACTCACAGTGATCCTCCTGCCTCAGCCTCCTGAGTGCTGGGATTATAGGCGTGTGCTACCATGCCCGGCGTTTTAAAAATTTTATTTATTTATTTGTTTGTTTGTTTGGGTTTTTTTGAGACAGGGTCTCACAATGTAGTTGAGACTGACCTGGAACTTACTATGTAGCCCAGGCTGGTCTTGAACTCACAGCGATCCTCCTGCCTCATTCTCCCAAGTTGTGGGAATACAGGTGTGCACTGGCACGCCCGGCTCTCCACCCTGTTTCATTCTTCATTCCTCTTGACCAGTTCCTTGGCACCAATAATCCAGATATTTGTGTGCATGTGCTATAGAGTACACCATGTTATATTTGACTAGGTATAGATGTGGGGTATCCTCTCCTGAGTGCTGGCCCTGACTATAAGAAGACTATTAGATTGTTACATGTGGGGTGCCCTGGTAAGGTCACAAAGCTTCCTGAAGCTTTAAAAATTGGGTTCTGCCACACAGCACCTCCTGGAAAATACCCTAATGGTTTCAGAGATGTGCTGAGAGAGCTGATCCAGAATGAAGGAATCACATCCTTGTACAAAGGATTCAATGCAGTGATGATCCGAGCCTTTCCAGCCAATGCCGTAAGTAGCTGACAGGGGCTATGATTTTTCTTCTGGTCTCAAGCAGGGTGCAGGTCAGTGAGCTGGCTTTTGCTTATTCCTGGGATTGCACTGGGCCTTGGTTCTCCCAAAATCCCTCCCTGAGCCAGATCCTCTGTATTTGCTCACTTCCCTGACGCTGTCAAAAAGATTTGCCTTGAGGGTTGTCTGAGTTCAGGAGCTTTGATTTCCTGACCTGGCCATCATAATTAGGTAGCTGTGGAATAACCATTTTTCTCCTATTAGGAATGAGTCTGCTTGCTTCTGTGATCTAGGGTGGGAGTGGGATTAGGGAAGGTTTCTGGTCCTCAAAGGGCCAGCCAAGCACAGTGCTGTGGGTAGTATCTATGAAGAGTCATATTTCTGTTGGCTTTTTTTCCTCTCTCCTTCTTAGGCTTGTTTCCTTGGCTTTGAAGTTGCTATGAAGTTCCTTAACTGGGTCGCCCCAAACTTGTGAGGCTGAAGGCTGCTGAAGGCTTCTGGATGCTGGACACTCATTGAGGAAAAGCAGTACACAGAACTAGGCAGTTCTGAAGGGTGAGGGGAAGGGATGGTGGGATCAGAGCTCTGAGCATGGACTTGCTGAAACCTTTGCCTTAATGATGTCTACCTTCTGTGACTTGGTGTGCCATTTTGAAACTTGAATTCCCTCAAAGGATTAGGAGATGGAATAAGTACTGGCCAGAGTGCTGGTTGCTGGTTGACTGCTGGCCACACTGTACCCCAATGCTCCTGGCTAAAGAGGCAATCTAATCCTCTCACTGAAAGCACTATGCATATTTTCACCTGACTGACCAGAATATGGGATCTTCTTCAAATCCTAGTTAAAAAAACAAACAAATAAACAAACAAAAAACAGATTTCCAGGGTTCTGTTTCTAATCCTAGGCTACACACAGGAATATGAATTTAAAGCCCACATCTGTTTGTCCAAGTAGACTGGGTGGATATGCCTAAGAACAGATGGCCTGTTAACCATCAGATTTTAATTTTTTTTTACACAAGCAGATAATAAAAAATAAAGCTAGAGTAGTATAATTTCTCAGGACTAGGCAAAAAACTTTCCCCCTGACACAATGAGAACAGTTCCAGCCTGCTGGGATAAGTATAAAAACCCATGGTATAGGAAGGTTCTTTTTACACACTCTTCTTATGAGAGTCCCATAAAGCAATAAATATTGTTCCTAATTTTTGCATTGTGTGGTATTTTTTCTTGTGGTTCTGGAACGTTTCAGCTGGCAACTTGTGGCCTTAGTGGAGGCTGTCAGGGATCCAATATCCTTCACTGGTAGCCATTGGCAGAGGCTCAAGTGGGAAGAAGAGGCAGCTTTGGCTGGCCTAGACTTGACAGGTTCACACATCCCTCACTTCCAGACTGACATGCAGGTCCCCACAAGCCTAACCTGCAGCCCATCCCTTATTCATTCCCCACTCTGCCCTGAGCCACAGGAATATCTGGTGACAAATAGTCAATTTTCTAAAAGGCAAAAGTTAAAAAATAAAAAACTAAAAGGCAAAAATTGCTGGGTATGGTGGTGCTCACTTAGAATCCACTCCTCATGAGATTCCCCATGAGTTCAAGGCCAGCCAAGGCTACAGAGTGAATTCAAGGCCATCCTGGAGTATGTAGGTAGGACCCTGTCTCACAAAACAAAGCAAAAATGGCCAAAGCAATCTCCCAATTTTCCTGTGGCATGAAGTTGCTGTATGATCTGATGTAGCTAGCCTGGCTGTACTAATAAGGCAGATGATGATTGCAGACATGGCCAGAAAATGATGGAGGACATTGGCGTGAAGAATCACAGGGTGGGCTGTTCTTAACTGGTGGAGGACAGAGGTTGCTGAAGCTATGGGAACCAGACTTTTCTGGCATCTCGGCTAGTGGTCATAGTTCTGCTGTCACTTTATGACTCATTATAGCTGTATAGAGATCCTTGGATTATTTTTTTGTGGTACTGGAGATTGAACCCAGGGCCTTGCACATGCTGGGCAAGTGCTCTACGAGTGAGCTACATCCCTAGTTCTTTATTTTATTTTGAGACAGTCTTGCTAAATTGCCTTGGCTGACCTCAGACTTTTGACCCACTCCCAGCCCTTGTCTCCTGAATAGCTTACAGGTGTACACTCTCACATCTGACTGGATTTTGGCTTTAGAACCATCACTTTATATGAATGATAGGGACAGATACCTACACCCATTTTGGGAGTTAGGCATATAGCCAACCTGGCAGGAAGCTGAAGATTTAGTAGTTTCGGGAAGGAGGCTTTATTTTGGGGAAGATATTTCTGGATGACTAGTTTGGAATTATAGCCAACTTTTTTTTTTTCTTTTTCTTTTTGAGACTAGGTCTTGCTATTTATAGTCCAGGCCTTGAACTTCCTAATATATCCAAGGCTGGCTTAAACTTGCTGTCCTCAGCTGGTCCAAGTATTGGTATGTGTATACCACCATTTATTTTATTTATTTTATTTTTTATGGTACCAGGGATCGAACTTGGGACCTTGCACTTGTCAGGCAGGTGGCAGCACCACTGAGCTAATTCCTTGGCCCTATATCATCATTTATTGATTGATTAATTAATTAATTGACAGGGTCTTATGAAGTCCAGCTTGGCCTTGAACTCACTATGTAGCCGAGGCTGGTAGCAATCCTCCTGTGTCAGCCTCCCAAGTGCTGGGATTACATGATGTGTAGCCCCGTGCCCAACAAAAATTTTTTAGATTTTTTTTCTAAAAATTTTTTTTAGATTTTTTTTTTTTTGTACCAGGAATCGAACTCGGGTTCTTGCGCTTATGAGGCAGGCGGCAGCACCACTCAGCTAAATCCCCAGCAAAAGTAATATTTTTTTAAGATGAAAATTGTGAGACCGGGTGTGGTGGCACACACCTGTAATCCCAGCACTCGGGAGGCTGAGGCAGGAGGATCACTCTGAGTTCAAGACCAGCCTGGACTACATAGTGAGTTCCAGGTCAGTCCCAACTACGTAGAGAGACCCTATCTCAAAAACAAAAACAAAAAAAAGATGAAAATTGTGAACCCTCTGCCTGGGAGGGTTACTTCAGTGTTAATCCCACCCCTTCTCATGCTGGAGAATCTTTAATGTCTCTCTGATTTGGAAATGATCATTTAAGTGTCTCCTAAAACTCCTCTGTACCACCTAGTTTGTGTGTGTGTGTTCTTGCTGTTGGTTTTTTGTTTTGAGAAAAGGGAGACAAAGTCTCATTTTGTAGTTCAAGCTGGTCTTGAACTCACTAATCCAGGCTGACTTCATGGTGATCCTCCTGCCTCAGCCTCCAGAGTGCTGGGATTATAGGCATGCACCACCATGCCCGGGCCCTCTCCTATTTTAAATGAAATTTGTAAATTTCTTTTTTTGCTTTTTTTTTTGGTACTGGGGATCTAACTCGGGACATTGCACTTACGAGGCAGGCTGCAGAACCACTGAGCTAAATCCCTGGCTGATTTCTTTTTTTGTTTTGTTTTTTGAGACAGGGTCTCACTATGTAGTTGAGACTGACCTGGAACTCACTATGTAGCCCAGGCTGGTCTCAAACTCACAGCGATCCTCCTGCCTCAGCTTCCGGAGTGCTGGAATTATAGGCGTGTGCCACCACGCCAGGCTTGAAGTTTGTTGGTTTCTTGATATCATGAATGGTAATTAGTTTACTCCTTTGGGTGTTCAAAAATGTTAAATCAAACAGGGAAGCCTCTGGTGGAAAATTTATGAAGGAAAGAGAGCAGATGGTAAGTGACTCCCTTCTGGCTGGTGCTTCCTTTATGATGCCACCTGCTGCTGATTTATCTCTTCTGTCTCTCACGGCTAAGGGGGTAGAAGCAGGTCTGGAATTGAAGACCAGAAATTTCTGTCACTGACAAGTAGAAGCCAAGAGTGATTGTTTTATTAATTTTTTTTTTTTTTTTGGTACCAGGAATCTAACTCAGGACCTTGTGCTTTTGAGGCAGTCAGCGACACCATTGAGCTAAATCCCAAGCCCAAACAGTGATTGTTAAAACAACCAATTGGTGATAACCTTGCTCAGGCACCAGGAAGGTTATAAGTGGGCCAAAGGGGAGGGATAGAGCAGGTTTGCAGAAGTGACTTCTTTTTTTTTTAAATAGGGTCTTCTTGTTGTGTAGCTCAGGCAGGTCTTAAAAGTATTATATATATACCAGGCTGGCCTCAAACTCAATAATCTTCCTGCCTCAACTTCCCAAAAAAGCGACCTATATAAAAGCACAGTAGCAGCTGGGTATGAAGACACATGCCTGTTATCTCAGCATTCTGGGAGGTTGAGGCAGGAGGATTGAAGTTAGAGCCCAGCCTGGGCAATTTAGTGACTTAGTGAGACCCTGTCTCAAAAAGGGCTGGAGATGTAGCTCAGTATAAAGGCCCTTGGTTCAATTCTCAGTCACACCTCCTCTCAAAAAGCACAATAATATCATTTCTGCTATAAAGTTATACCATAACTAACCATAATTTCTTTCCCTACAACATTTTGAATTAGGAGCACTTTACATCTTTTCCATAGTCTTTTCTCATAGATTCTTTCACTCCTCTGCTTCTTCCTCTTCTTCCTCATTTTTGCTGAGGATGAAACTGGCTTTCATATTGAGCTGCATCCTCAGCTCTTTTTATTATTATTATCTTTATTTCCAGACAGGGTCTTGCTAAGTTGCTAAGCTGCCCAGGATAGGGTCTGACATATAATCCTCCTGCTTCAACCTCCTACAATTCTGGGATCACAGGGGTCCTTCACTACACTGGCTTTTTGGTTTTTGGAGACAGGGTTCCCCTGTGTAGTCCAGGCTGGCCTTATACTATGTAGCCCAGGCTAGCTTCAAACTCCCAGAGAACCTCTTCCCTGAGCCTCTCAAATTCTGTGATTGTAGGTATGCGCCGCCATGCCTGGCCTGACTGCTCTTTACTGCTGTGCTAGGGATAAAACCTGAGGCTTTGGGCATGCCTAGCAAATGCTGTTCCACTGAGACACACCCCCAGCTCTTATTCTCTCATTTCTTCATGCCATACAACTTAATATTTAATGGGTAGGGGTTTTTTAATTGTTTTGTTTTGTTTTTTTAGAGTCTTACCATGTAGCTTAGGCTGGCCTTGAATTTACTATAGGCTGGCCTCAGACTTGAAGTGATCCTCTCGCCTTAACTCTGGAGTGCTGGAATTACAAATGTATGCTACCATGCCCAGCTTGAGTAGGGATACTTTACCATCAATTTCTGATGTGGAAGCTAAACCTCAGTAAAGTGATCTGTAAAGCTCCTGGGTATCTCAGTGCCCTGAAGATACTATCAAAAGCTTTCTTGTGATACAATCAAAAGCTTTCTTGGAGCTACTTGCCCCAGGCTCCAGGAGGTACACAAGTATTGCTGGATCAAAGCCCAGGTACCTAACCCATGAGTTATAAGGGGTGGCACAGAGTCCTGACAAATTTAGAAGGCCCCATGCCCAGTTGCTCCCTGAGGGCTCCTGAGAGCAACAGATTTGTGATTCTTCAGCCAGGTGTTTTCCTTGCTCTTGGGTAGCCCATAGGCAGACTATGGGGACAATATAGAGACTGACATTGTCTTAGGACACAGTGTCCTGGTGAAGGGGTTAGCTCACAGGTAAAGAAGCGGGTGGGCTTGGAATTAACTGCTCTTTGAGCATGGATTATTGTTAAAATAGATTAGACCAGGCTGGGAATGTAGCTCAGCAGTACTGAGCCTTCCTGGCAAGCAGTTCCTGAATTCAATCCCTGATATCAAAAAAACAAAAACAAAAACAAACAAAAAAACCAAACATACCTCTTGAGGCACTGTGTAGAAGGACAGCTTATGTGAGGCCAAAGAAAGAATAACACATTTCACCAATCCCTCCTGCCAACCAGCGATTCATGAGCCCTCTCTTTTTTTTTTGAGACAGGGTCTCACTATGCAGCCCAAGCTGACCTCGAACTTGTGGTGATCATCTTGCCTCAGCCTCCCAAGTGCTGGGTTACAGGCTTGCATCACCATACCTAGCTATATGAGCACTTCTAAGGTGAAACAGACTGGTGGTAGTTAAGTCCTACATTGAACTAGTAGAGAGTTTGCCATGCAGAAGTGGTTAGGTGACCAGCACTTTCCAGAAAGTGCATGTGGGGGGTGTTCAGAGTGGCTTAGAGCAGTAATCCCTTGGTCAGGTAAGAGGGTAAAATTCCTCCATAGGCAGAGGGCATAAGATACTGATAAGCTGGTGATCTGGGTCTTCAGAAGGGTTTGAGCTTTGCCCTTCTTCCTGGAAAGAGGGGTGGGTATTTTAAATAATAAACCTGTCAAGAGTACATGAAATTGCTGGGCATTGTGGCACACACCTGTAATCCCAGCACTCAGAAGGCAGAAGCAGGAGAATTGCTAAAAGTTTGAGGCCAGCCTGGACAACATAGTGAGCTCAAGGCCAGCCTGAACTGCATAGTGAGACCCTGTCTCAAAAAATAAATAGATAAATAAAGTACACAAAATTGTTAGGTGTGGTAGTACATGCTTGTAATCCCAGTAAGATCACTGTGAGTTTGAGGCCAGCATGGGCTATGCGAGTTGTAGAGCAGCCTGGACACAGTGAGACCTTGTCCCCCCCCCCCCCCC